TCTTTGTATCATTCTATGGTCTCTTACCCTTTATCCATCCCTTCATTCTTTGTACCTTTATCTTTGACATTCCTTTCTTTCATTCTTCGTGGCTCATCATTCTTAGTGGCTCATGCTCCCTGAGTGCTCTTGTGTAGTTTAGTATATATAGGCGTACGAGATCAGACTGGTCCTGTAGTCTTGATCTCGTCTACTCCAGGTAGTCCTGTACTCTTAGGCTCACTCTATATACTCTACTCTTGTCTCACTCTCTCTCTCCGCCCGTTCCGCGAGTTCCGACTACGTTCCGGTGCTCGCGTTCCGTATTTCTGTTGTGTAGGATAGTTGTAGCCTGGGTCCCCTCGCTGAGCCTTCGGGTCCCCTCTACGCTGTCGCTGACAATCTTATTGTTAATAGAGAATAGATAAGAAGGGTGAGTTAATAATAATTCAACTTGGTAAATAACAAATAATATAGTTGTTAAAATTATATAAGTAAAGAAATTCTGTAATACTGTTTAAAAGTTAATTCTAATAAGAGGAAATCTGTAGAAGAACTCTAAGCTCTAGTAGAGAAGGTCAGATTACAAACTTGTACATAATAATAGATAATTAGAATAATATTAATACTTTCTGTCTGTACTCTTAAGTAGGTTGAAACTAGTAATAAAACACTATAGAGTAATAATATAATAGAGAACTAGAGAAAGAGTATAATAAAAATTCAAGTATATAATATAGTCTAAAACAGACTGAAAGAAAAGTAGTCTGAGAGGTACAAGAATAATAAACTAACAAATCATTAGAGTTATAAGTACAGAACTATTACTAGTCTTTATAATAGTAAGTATGTATAATTGTATTAATTCTATATCTAAACCCTAAGTCCTATAGTTCTTTTTTGGTTAGCTTGAATTGACCACCTACAGTTTAACTTGAATTTTACTAAGTTAAAATAAAGTCCTTTTTTAATAAAATACATGTTCCCCTAACCAAAACCTATCCTAACACTCAAACCTAACAATCTAACTTATCTCAAACCTAATTGAAGGGTAAAGCCCCTCAAACCCCTCTCCTAACTTCTTAGTCCAAGAGTTGCCACACTAGTATTATGTAAGTGGCCATTCAGAGTCATCCCAAATTGGGTCATAAGACTCAGGGTCTGGATGTAGAAAATCAAAGGTTAGTATGTATCAGTTAGGACAAAGGGGTCAAATGGTACTAAAAATAAATAAAGTTGGAGGCAATGGCAAGGTTACTCTTGAGGTATTTTATGTCTTGATAAGGACCTACTGTTTCTTGAAACAATTGATATGTAATGGATTATTCGATTGACTAACTTTGAAGTGTGTGAGAATTCTCAAAACTACAATATGTAAGTGTTTCACCCTAGTTCCTCTCTAGAGGGATGCTTGGACTGAGTAAGGGATTAACAGCTGGCAAACGCTGAAAACGCTAGAATGCTGCTGGCAAGGTTAATGGAAGTAGAGGTTAATGATTGGCTCTCCGCATCCACTGATGTACAGAAGGAATTGAAGAAGCACAGACTTTATGAGCAGTCCGAGAGCTTGAAGATCAAGAACGGAAATAAATGAGTTAGTCAATTTCGCGCAGGACACGCAGAATGCTCTGAATATCGGGAGCCGCCCATCAAGAAAATGCATCTGTTGCCGATAGCTTCCAGGCTAAAGAAGTCAATTAACCCAGCAGAACAGCCTTGCTGGTTAGCATGTGTTTTACTTATCTTCCCTGGAATTAGACACGGTCTTATACGCTCGCGGCTCAGTTCTCCTATTAGCAAGCTTTGGGGATGTCAGAAATGACACTCGTTGGCAGGTGTGATCCTCCATGGTATGACTACGTTTTCTGGGGGATGAGGCCCTTCGTGCGGCTCGTGGGCAAAGCGTGGACAGGGATACTAATAAACGGACGACGCAAACTAGACAACGAGAGATACAGGGCGGATGCATTCATCAGGAATAGTATGCGCGGCTCGGCCAGGACATTAATCAAGGGAAGACCAGATGAAACTACTTCAACAAATAGAAATATTAGATTCACAGCTTTGTAAGATGTCGGTGCGTATGCTGCATGCGGATGTATCATTGTTGGGTTGGGAAGCGAGAGTCCTTTGCGTCGCGTCTAAATCCGAATAGTCGTGGGACTCGTTGATAGGATGTGGCGTCAGAGCGTGACTGATTTCTCACGCACGAATTATTAACTTCTCTTTCGTTGCTTCTTCCTTTCTTCATCTCTTCATTCCTCCACAGCTTCTTGACTATGGTCTTTTCCCCTACGCATTGCATGGCGGCCGAGACGACTTGGTGGGAATTTCCTCGTAGGCATCTGACTAGAATCTCATAAGCTCAAAATATTTTTTCCCTCCATTTTTAATGCAGTTCTGCCTTCGCCAATCTTCGGTCTTAGTCACGCGAACGCAGACCAACGCATGTGAAATCGTGTTGCACATGCTTCCCAGCAACGCTTCCAGGGGCAAAGTCAACGTTAGGGATTTGACCATGCGGAACGAAAAGATGTAAAGGCACCTTGTCGCTTCCTGGCTTTTTGACAAAAACGTAAACGTCTCTATTCGCAGCTCGCTGATGAGCCGAGCAAAACATTCTCGGTCGCCCTTCACCAGCACCAGCACCAGCACCAGCACTGCCGCGGGACGATTCGTAGCAATTGATAATTCGGATCTAAATACTACCTCTATCTTGTGCCTTGAAACTTGCGTCCGATTTTTTGCGCCCACGGGGAAGCCGTCTAACATATACTTCTGGAATTCTTGCTTCGACATATTAGTACTCGCGACCACAAGTCGCTCGATCTGATGACCGCGGATCTTTTTCGCTCGTTGCTTCGCCTCAGTTCATGAACAAAGCGGCTTCTGGTCACCATATTCTCTTACGCGATGGCGACTCTATTGGCCTCTCCCGTCATTTTGTTTGCCTTGTTGTAAATTAGCACTGAGAAATAAATAAAGGATGGTATCTTGCATGCGAGTTCTCGCTGTCTCGGTACGCCTCGCACTTCTTGACACCCCCGTCCAGAGAACACTGGGTTTTTGTGTACATGATGCTGTTGATACGTTTCGCCTCTCTTGTCGCCCTCGCAGCAGTAGCGCTTGGGGCTCCTGCTTCAACCGTCGAGAGCCGCAGTATCTCTCAGTCTCTCATGGACGATTTGGAGAGATATGTTCAGTTTGCTTCTGCAGCATACCAAATCCAATTGCTATGCCCTGCACCACTCGGAACTACGATGGTAACACAAGTGAGTTGCACTAGTCGGTCTGGCCATCACACACCTGACCTGAATCTACTTCAAAATCGGTAGTTTAATGAAGACTCGACTAATACGCAAGGATACATTACACGTGATGACGACCTCAAGGAAATTATTGTCGCTTACCGTGGCAGTATTCAATTGCAGGATTTCATCACAGGTTCGGCTGTTCTTTATTTTTATCGGCCCTTCTATTGTCATTGATATCCAAATATAGACTTGGAGTTTGCGTTAGTCGACTATTCGTCGCCAGGCGTGACTGGAACGGACGGAGTCCAGGCGCACCAGGGATTCCTCAATGCTTTCAACAGCGTCGCGAACACAGTGATCTCTACTGTCTCAGACCAGCTGAAGGCACATCCTGATTATTCGCTCATCTCAACCGGGCACTCTCTTGGTGGTGCACTTGCATCTCTCGGCGGCGTCTCACTTGCAGCAAATTTCCCGGATGCACCATTACGAGTGTTCACATTCGGTCAACCAAGGACTGGTAACCCTGGGTATGCAACTCTCGCAGAAAATCTTATTGGTGTTTCAAATATCTTTAGAGGTGATTCGCTTTTGTTATGAAAAGTATCGTGCTATTCTGACTTGACTTGACTAACACAGGCACCGAGACCTATGGTATTTCTTTCCGTTACTTTCATAGATAAGATTGAGCAAACGCTTCGATATAGATGGTGTACCGACAATACCGTTCCAATCATGGGGTTACCAACATCAGTACGCGTCTCTCTTGCTGTATGGCTCGTACCAGACATTTCTAACCTGCTGAAATCTAGTGGGTCTGAATACTGGGTTTCACATGATCCAAGTATGTTCCACATAAGAATCATATCACCTAACCTTTTCCAGGATACTGATGAAGATTGATTTGTTAGACACTGACCCCAACAACGTTGTAACCTGTGTTGGACGCGAGGATCCGAACTGCAGCGATTCAATCCCGTCAACAGGCATCAATGACGCACACTTGCGCTACTTCGGTCAAAGTAAGCAAACTGAATTGAGTTTTCGCGCTTCGAAATTAACACCACGACTACCTGTAGTTATTGCACTTAACCCTACAGTCTGCTTCTGATGATAAAGCATCTCTGGTTTTTTGGGCGGGGTTCTGTCATTTTTATCATGATTAAAGGATAGTTTGCAAAGGTCGATGTGATGCGAATCGATTATGTACCGAATAACATGCGCCTCAAAATGTTTGAGGTTTTCAACCTATCAGTCAAAATCAACTGAACTGCGCGGGAAGACAAAGACCTTCATAGTTGTAATGACATAAGTACGAATCAGGAGCGCGGGAAGCTTAATATTATGGAAACTAAAGTTAGCACATATCGTGCGGGAACTGGCTTTGCATGTGTTGGCAACTGCCTGTTTCGATAAAGGATACGGCCACAGCCTTTGTAGCCTATGTTTAGATCCCCAGAAGATTTACATGGAACATGCTAGAAGTCCGGATGATCGTCCATTCAGTTTGGTAGGTCTCCGTAATTGGGAACCAAGTTTCCACCATTGCCCTTAGATTAATATTATCTTACCGAACTTTGTGCGCGGACGACAAAAATAATGAGCCTCCGTCATAGAGACTCACTTCGACATCGGTAGTTTCGTGCCACAAGAAGAGAAGTGAATGTGCAGCCTTAGAATAGCAATTTTTGGGAAATGAAGGAAGGTTATTAGTATATTACACCCTCGTCGGATCGCGCGAACGAGCGAACGGGTTTCTTGAGGTCGCAAACCGGATGAGCATGACGCTTGCACGAGCCATAGTCTGCTAGCCTCTAGGAGCCAAATATTCATAGTCAGATATTTTTGCAACTGTCTCTCCATGTGCTGTGTAACAAATCATAACTATGGTTCAATGCAGACGCTTCCATCAATGCACTGCACTTTTGGAATAGGACCTGGCACCTAATCATATCATGCAAACAGAGCAGAACACTTGTAGCTATGTCACGTGTATTCGGTTTACAATTCGTTATATTGTGGTTATTCTTAGTACTTACCGGGCAATTGGATATCCAAACTTTGCAAAAATTGTTGGTACCCACAAGCATGTCCACTCGAGCACAACAAGATACCCATCTTTAGGATGAAATTCTCATTTAAGTCGAGCTTCATCTACATTTGTAATAATTATGGTTCGCTAGCTACGTCTTATCTTTATTTGGAGCTGTCAAGACTCTCCGGTTCACGTGCTCCAGTCATCGTGTTCGATCCACTGAGCAACTGTCCATCATACTCTCTGACTCCTTCTCTTCTATTACCTCCAAATTTCTTCCGTGTGGTTCGCTTCCTCGTTCCATTCCAATGGTCACTGCTGACGAATGACATGTGAATTACTGAGACTACGCCGACCCGCTAAAGCTGCAAGTAGCGGAACTCGGTATGTGCTAGGTTTAGATCGGGCTCGGACTTCTGTTGGTATAATGAACTACTTTTGGCCATCTACTGGGTTCTCAGTTCCGAGCGTGCTATATACTTTCTCTCTATCTCAGCCTGAATTTGAGGATAGGGTAGCACTAGCTTCTGTCTACATGTCAGACAATTTCCACGGACGTGCAACTTGTCAAGGGACTTTCCGAACTTCCTACAGTGCTCATCATTATTTCCTGTTCCATCAATTTATGCATTGGAGATCGTCCTAACACCATCCCTAGTATCTATCATCAAGGAGAAGACGTACGTACTTCGGATTTTCCTGCGGTCTTTACTGTACAAAAAGCGACCTTCCATTTGGCTTGATCTGGTGACCGCGGATCCTTTCGCCGCTTGCTTCATTTCGGTATACGGTTCAATACTGAACGTCGAACTCCGGTCGCGGTAACTCTTTATATGAGAATGTGATATCATGGAGACGGATTACGGCCGACTTCACGTTATACTGATTTGACCATGGTGTAAAAGAAAGGCTTGAAAAAGCGACGAATGAAGCGAGATTTGAGTGAGCGGTGCTTTCTAGTCATCGGCTCTTTGTCTGGCTTGAATACGACAATAGGCCATTATGATCATGGCTTACTTCGTTTTCTGTACCATGGCTCTTGCTGTGCAGGCGCTCGCAGTCAATGTGCCGCATATCGAGCGCCGTGCCATCTCACAGGCAATCATGGATGATCTGGAGAGATACATACAGTTTGCCTCTGGAGCGGATCAGCTATTCTGTCCCACCCCTCTCGGAACAACCTTGGTGACAACGGTCAGTTTAAATCTGCAAATATGATTACGTTGGTATGACTGAATTCCCCTGTGCTGTGATGTAGTTCAGCGATATTGGAACAGATACGCAGGGTTATGTTACACGTGATGACGAACGCAAAGAAATAATTGCTGCCTTTCGTGGCAGTACTGACCTGCAGGATTTCGTTACGGGTATGTTCCAGCTGCAACTGCTCTGCAACTAAAAGTAACTTATTCAACCATCGACACGCTATGATAGATTTGACGTTCGCCTTGGCGGACTTTTCATCACCAGGCGTGACAGGGACAGACGGAGTAAAAGTGCATCTTGGGTTCATGGACGCTTACAACAGCGTCGCGGATACAGTGATTTCCACCGTTTCAGACCAGCTGAAGGCACATCCTGATTATTCACTCATCTCAACTGGGCACTCACTTGGCGGAGCACTCGCATCCCTCGGAGGCGTCTCACTTGCTGCGAATTTTCCGGACACACCATTACGTGTGTTTACATTTGGCCAGCCGAGGACGGGGAATCCTGCATATGCGACACTCGCGGAAAACCTCATTGGTGTTTCAAACCTTTTCAGAGGTGCGTTTTATCACGGATTGATATCAGCATATGCTAAATAAATAATACATACAGGCACAGAGACTTATGGTACGGAGAAAAAGTCTTAAACAAGGATTGTATTTGACACGGCAATACGCACAGACGGTGTTCCCACCATCCCACCTCAATTTTTTGGCTATCAGCATCAGTACGTCTTGTTTTTGCGGGACGATCTCTACTCTCACACACTATGTTATATTCTCACATAGTGGATCCGAGTTTTGGGCGTCCAGAGATCCGAGTAAGTTCTTCCGTTTTCTTCGCTATTCATTCTGTCAAAAGTATAACGCCACAATTCTCGTCAGACACCGATCCAAAAAATATCGTAGCATGTATCGGTCGGGAAGACCCGCACTGCAGCGATTCCATTCCCTCCACAGGTATTAACGATGCACATTTGCGCTATTTCGGACAAAGTACGTGTATAAAGCCTCTTATGTATACAATGTTTATAAAACTCCTTTTTTTAGTTATACCATTCAACCTCACTGTTTGCACCTAGTGGTGGTAACTCTCGTCATTATTCACGTTTATCCGCTCTGCACGCTGATTTCGATGTTCATTGGTCAGAATAGTCGCAGGATCAGTCAATGTATGTATGTGAAAATTTGATTAACATCAATAAAAGACTTGTGCCCCTCATAGGGCTTGTTATTAGCATTGCTTTGCGAACAACTCGATTGATATAGCTAGCTTCACGTGCTTACCTTGAGTCCTCCATTAGCCCGAATCGAGGGAGGGAAGTCATTGTAAAACTATCAGCCCCGTCAATCATCCTCCACTAAAATCACCTCCTTCTCCTTAATCGCAATCTTCTTCGTCCTCTTCGACGCCTTCACTGGATTCGGATCCGAGAAAATCTCATCCAATTCCTCCAACGTATACCCACACGTCTCCACACAAAGGAAATACCAAACAACCGCTTCGAACGCATCCCAAAAGATGAAGACGATAATATATTTCCAGCCGATACGACCAAATGCGATGGGTGAACAGAAGAGCGAGATGAACGATGTACAAGCGATGACGAAGATCTTCATTGAGAGACCTTTTGCGCGAGTTGTGGTTTCGAGGCATTCGGCTGGATATAAGGCTTGAAGTGGGGTGTACTGATTGGGATATGCAAAAAACGATTGATGAGAAAAAGACTTTCTTTCAAGTGTAAAAGAATTTGCTCTCACAGTAAATGCATAAACCAGGTTGAACAAAATATAGAACGCAGCGCCAGCACGTCCGATATTAAGGTTCTTCGGCCCATCACCATACGACGCCCACGTAGCTGAGAATCCCGCATTTGCAGCTAGCATAAGTGAGCAGCCAAACGTACCCCATACTAACACTAGGCGTCTCGGCATACGATCTTCAAGAGTACAGGCGAACCACGCGACGAGTGCATTCAAACATTGCCCAATAAGGTTCATGTTGAACTGCATTTGCGTATTGTATCCTAGTGATTTGTATATGGACAACTACGCATAGAGTGTGGAATTAAACGGAATATATTAGGACGAAGATGGGGGCATGCGCACGTACGTTGAAGTAACCAAGACCATTTCCAGACCACTGACCGAATATACCCATGAGTAGGACCATCAGAGTTCGCCAACGTGCATTATGCGTTGCAATAAGAGCTCTAAGGAAAGCCAATTCAAAAATGGCACACACATTATTGACTTGTAATACCTACCTAAAATCCCACCACCGTTTATCAGAAGCATTCTGTTTAATATTCTCCTTAAATTCCTCAATCTGCAGCTTCACAATCGGGTTATTAGGATCGTCGTTTCCATGGTACTTCGTCAACAACGCAAACGCTTCTTCTTCCCGTCCATGAAGGTACAACCATCGTGGACTTTCTGGGAGGAAAAACACGACCGACATTACGATGATTGCTGGGATGCATTGAACGAGAATCGGAATACGCCATGACCAATCGGTTGTTAAGCGTTCAGTACCGAGTGAGATGGCTGCTGCTGGTATGGCTCCACCGAAGTAGCCTGTGTTGTACAATGCTGTGATCCGTCCTCTACAACATATTTTCATCACGACTTCGGTTCAACGAGGAAGAAAAGGAAGGATCAAACCTCCACTGAGGCGGAGCTATCTCCACCGCAAACGTCGGGGCACCAATAATAGTGACAGAGATGCCCATACCAAGGAGGAACCTTCCAGCAATGAATTGGCCACGATTTCCAGCACTTGCGATAACAGCCGTAGCGATCAGTACCACGACGTTTCCAGCAAACATCCCTGCGCGGCGACCAAGCTTATCGCAAAGGATACCGGCCCAGAGTGAGCCTGTCATTTGGCCGAAGGTGTAAATGGAGAAGATGATGCCTGTTGCGACGTCCAAGTTCCCTACATGAATAATAATGTGATACGATTCACTTCGAGGGGTGAGAAGGGCAAGAGGGTTAATGGGTACCTTGGTTGAACCGATCCTGATAGACTTTCATACCATTGATGGACGTCATGAGTGAACTATCATACCCACTTGAACATGCGCAAGTAAAGGCTACAGCAGCACCTAACACAATATGCCATATGTTATCGCCAATTAAACCCCAACAGTTTCTGTGAAATAACATACATGCATAAATAACAAAAGCATCCTTTCCGTACGCCTTCGTCCCTCCTTGCACGACTGCAGCAGCGAAAGCAGCATTATGGGCAACCCTGAGTTCCGCATCTTCAGGTACACAAGCAAGTGAAGGCTTGACAAAGTTGATATTCTCCTTCCCGTCAACGGTACTGAATTTCTCGATGGAGTTGACAGATTCGCTTGCTCTTGAAGACATCGTACACTACAGAGGGATGTATGGGCTGTACAGCGACGATGCAAGGAGCGAGGATCAAGCCCCGGAATTCCGAGATGCCATATGGATTGTTGTATTTAAGACGGTGTTTAGCAGAGAAGCTGGCTTGATAAAGCGTATCTAAACCTAAAATAAGAGTGCATATCCGCGTTAATTTGAAATGAAGACCACGCGACCATAACGCTCACCATGAACTTGGCGGCCCGAATGGAAGAAAGTTGATCAAACTGACCTTTCATAGGCAGGCAGAAGTCTTGGCAATGAAATCGTATGAAATAGTCACTTTAAGGAATCTCGATTCAATGACGAGTGATGAAAATTAGACAAAGAATCAGAAAACATGCTTTGCATGCAAATGTAACTATACAATTTCTGTGCTGGTCCGAGTACAGGGTGCATATCAGTAGTAGTACAAGGCAGGATATTGAGGGATATTGAGAATTGCTGTTGCATGAATAGTCCGATCTAGAATGGGTAATACGGTGTTGAAAGAATGAATCGAGGCCGGACGGCTTATTTACTCTCCAAATTCCTCTTTCGGCTCTGGCGTCTCTTGCTCAGGTGAAGTGTGATCGTTTGATGTTGCTGGAGGAGTCGGTGGAGTGAATGTCGATGGCTCGAGTTTGCGGGAAGGTGGCATCGCGGGCGTTGGTGCAGCGGATTCGCGAGGAAGGGAAAGTGCCGAGGCAATAACGTTACGGGTACGCCGGGTTGGTATTGCTTTGCCTACATCACAATCACGGATCAATATCTTGCTTATCTATAGATAAGAAATGGACCGTACCAATGCTTTTCACGAGATCGTATCCCGCAAGTCGTGCCTTGCTAATCGCGGGATCTACGGAGCTGCCCTCTTCAACTGCAACGTAGTCGATACGGTGGCGCGTGAGGAAGTCTTCGGACAGGACGACGGGCGCGTCGACAAGAACCTCGTCTACCCAGCGTATATGCCGAATAAGTTCGCAGCGTTCGACATGAGGGAGGATAGTGGACATTTCGTGTGCACGTATTTGTACGTCAGTAAAAGGCCCGACGAGGAGATGGACAGATGGGAAGGCAAGCTTTGCTTGGCGAAGCTGATGTACTGTCCTAAACCAGGCCAACATACGTTTGGTCAGTATCAAGTGCATAGCATGAAATATCATTCGTAGCACTAAATGCTTACCCAACGTGCACGGAGTCGAAAACTCCGTCTACGTACAAGCGGAACGACTTCTCTCGTTCACTGCGACTACGGGATCTACTTCGAGGTCCGACAGCTCCCTTGCCCGGTCCAGTGACTGTCTTCTGTACTAAAGCCTGCACGTCATCTGCAGAGAGCCTTGCAGTTTCAAACAAGGCCTTTGCATCTTCAGATGGTGGCACCTCTCGCGGAGGACGTGGAGCCGGAGCGGCAACTGTTGGACTGTCGATTCTGAGGTCTGCGATACTGGACTCAAGGGAACGCGGATCGTTGTCAGAGATGACATCGTAATCGTTCAGGTCATCGCTGATGCTCGCCGGCTCTGAGGGCGCATATGCGGCGGGCATTGTTGTCGTATTGACAGTGTCGTCGACGTGGACGTCGCCGGAGAGCGAGGCGAGTGCTCCGGAATTGTTATGCAATGCACATGGTCGAATAGGAAGGCGACGTTGTGACGTGCTACCATGTGACGACCTGTATACGGTCACGTGCATTTAATTTATGTTTAGCGCGTCCCAGTTCAGTCTCTTTGGGCTTCGGAAGCTATAACAGCAGAGGAGCATCACCATGTACCGCCTCCACTTCTTTCTTAAGCACCACCACCATCTCCCGCTGGGCTAAACTAAACACAACCATGGCGTCGCTCTGCAGCACTGGAACACTTCCACCGCGTCCAGACATCGAAGGCATCGGCACCCGAGTTGCCACCTATGCTCAGCTCTTCCTTGCCATCTTCACTATTGCTTTGACGCCCGCAGCAAGCTCCTTTGACGCCTGGTGGGCCGTGCTCGTCACCTCCCTTGGTCTTCAGTTTGCTGCCGTCGCGCAGCGGCATGGCCTCACTCTCTTTCACGCTCTTATTGTCACGCTTCTCGCCTTTCCCGTCTTCGGCATGTCATGGGTATATATTTTCTGGCACTGGAGGCTAGATGCTATGCCGCCCGAAATTCTGATTGCAACGCATATCCACGGATTTCTTTTTGTCGGGTACGATAAAAGTATATGTGTAGGAAAATATCGATGCTAACGCGCGGAAATAGGTTTGGTCTTTGGATCTGGGGCACTGCACCTACTTTCGGTCAGTGTCCGGAACTGAATGGAACCATGCAATTTGTCGTCTTTGGAAAATCGCTCCATCCTTTAGGCTGGATACGTATATTTGTTCTCGTTTTGTGTAAGTATTTCCATTACACCTTTGTTTGAATTCTTCTTTAGCTCGGGACTTTTCTTCTATAGACTCTATGTGGGGCGTCTTGTTCTTAGTGTCTGCCGCCGCTTCCCTTGTCCGTGCTATTCCCTCCTTGCACAACCGAGCCCATCGTCATCTAAGCTTCACGCGAAAACTTGTCGTCTATTTACCTTCAAATGCACAATCCCTTGTACTCGTCACGATTTTCAACCTAGCTATGCTGGCATATAGCATCTGGTCCGTTGAGAGCTTGCTTTTGCGCAACGTCACCGGAACATCCTCGACAGACGAGAGCTCGTGGACATTTGGGCAAATCTCTGCGATCATTCTTCTTGTGGGGCCGTTGTTCACTTTCGCGAGACTCTTGAGGATTAGGTTCTTCGGACCGGGGCATGTCAGTGGCACCGACCGGGAAGGCATGCCTTTGACAACTCATCGAACTCGGAGGGCCGGTATTCAAGCTGAGGCGAACGAGAAGGCTAATAGGTAATGATACGTCTATCACTTTGGCGTTGTTGATAGCTGACGTCAAGTATGTGTCTCCTAACCCATCGTCGATTTCTAGGAAATTGCTCGTGCAGACGGAATCCGGGGGATTCCCCTAAGGGCACATTCACCTGTCGGTTCCTGTCAGCTGCTTTTAATTGCTTTCACGCTGTCAATAATGCTCTTTATTTCGCGTGTTTATATTCTGCTGTCATTGCCGGATCAATACCGACCGATCATCATTCATCATGTACTTTACTCCATGTAATCATGTTGCAACTTGTAATGTTTTCTCCAATGTGTAGACATTAGAATGATGAAGACTTTTCACGATTGATTCCTGATACTGGCCAGTGTCCACTGCAATCTTCGAAAGTATTATGAGATGATTAGTTCATCAACGGACGAACCACGAGACGATGACTTCATAATGTCTCAGTTAGAATACATACAATATAAGGACGAGAGACACTGAGCAGTCAATCGTCACCTCACCCCTTGTCTATGCGTGCCCCCTTTAAGTTCTCCCTCTCAACAGGTTATGAGCCTTGAGCTCCCTGCATACACGCATCCACTGTACACTCTAAACTCTTTACTCACATACATTTGCACACATTTGTATTATGGTTCCCCCACGTACGGATACACACTGTAAACCAGCCAATGTACCCAAATACTTCAGTCAAAACATCACAATGCTTAAGACTGAAGTGAACTACAAGATGTGGCACTACTGCATCATTTCTAGTGTTGCAGCTACATGCTTCAAACACTTACTAAAGGATGAACCACAGAACAAAGCTGAGAGGGAGATGGCTAAGGCTATTCATGCATGCATAGTTAATAACATTGCTGACACAATATTGGCAAACTATATGCACTTCAATACATCTATCCCTCAGTTAATGAAAGTACTTGAAGAACACTTTAACCCCTAGATGGTACATAAAAAGGCTATCAATGAATTGGCACTGTTTATTTGTAGAGACCATGTAAAACATTTCAGACATACATTAGACAGACTTGAGGAAGCATACACAACTCTGTCTACTAACAGTGATCCACCACACAACTCTACATACAAAGCAGTAATATTGCTTGCCACTCCTAAGTAATATACACACATAGTAAATACAATAATACAATCTACTGATGCTCAAAACAAAGGCAAACCAGTCAATGAACATAAGAAAGTCAAACTGAAGCAACTAATCCTTACATTGTAGAATGCCTACAATGATTACTGTGCTAAACAAGTACAAGATTCCAATGATTGGACAAAGAATAATGTATGTGTTAATACAATGTATAAAGCCAATAAGTAGAGGAAATTCAATCTGCCAAATCTGTTCAATCTGACAAAAGCAAAATGTTTCAATTGTGGAAAAACAGGACATTTCTCTAAGGAATGCTGCAAACCTCCTACTGAAGCTACAAAGCTTGCACACACCAAACATCAGGCTAACATTGTGTATAAAACAAATCAAACTGTGGAAAACACAATGAACACATTTATTATTGAAAACCCAAACAAAAACAATGTTGAATTAAAGGAAGGCAATGTTGAAATGAACAATAATGCCTACACTCTTATTCTGAGCAACCAGGACAAACAATTCGAACAATATGCTTCCTGGGTATGTACTAACGTATTTACAAATACAATCATAACTAACAAGAAATCCTATATGCAAATGATGGATTTACTTGATTCTAGTACATTAATACATGCTACTCCTTATCTATTTTGATTAATGGATGTACACAACATAACTCCTACAATTGTAACTATTGCAAATAGGTTAATAATGACTCTTAATTGAGCTGGATCTATGTGTATCGAAATCCCAAAGAATATACAAGAAAAAAGTGTCATAACATTACAAAACGTCTATTACTATCCACAAATGACCTTTTCCCTCATAAGTCAAGTGTTACTATGTAGGGAAGGTTATTCTTTTATGTTTACAAACAATAATTGTACTATAACATCACTATGTAATGAATACATCAGACATATACAATTGAGAAATAACTTGTATATTTTGTACAATAATCACTTATTAAAAACAATGAACAAACTATCTATTTATGATATACATAAACGTCTCAGACACATAAGTTACAATTATATTAAATGATTATTAAAGACACAACCAAGTGTACTATCAACTAAAATAACAAACTATGAAGAAAAAGAATGTATTGAATGTATAAAAGCAAATATTGAATGTACACCAATACCAAAACTATGTCAATCTCCTCTTGCAAATCAATTTGGAGATCTTATTCATATCAATATCATTGGTCCTATTGAACTGTATACATATAAGAACATATACTACTTATTAATGATTGTAGACGATTCTACTTGTTAGTGTATAATGCTCAAATTACAAACAAAATCTAATGCATATACACAATACATACAATGGACAACTAAAATATTTACACAGTACAGAGTTAAAATAAAGCTTTTACAAAGTGATAACAATACTGTATTCCTTAGTGAAGATTTCCAACAATATTTAGATTCACAAGGAACAAAACAAAGATTAACAGTACATCATACTCTATAACAGAACAGAATAGTGGAACAAATGTATAAAACTATATTTAGAGGTGTAAGAGCATATCTAACATCTACTGAATTACTGTTTACATTATAGGCTGAAGTAACAATTCATATTACTTATATTCATAATAGAACACTGTGTGCTACTTTAAATTACAATACCCTACATTACAAACGTTACAGAACACACAGAACAATTGATAATATATATGAATTTAGTCAATATATTATCATTTGCAATGAAAATCCTACAAAAATACAACAGCAAGGTATTATTGCTTGTTAGATAGGATTAGACAATGAAAGTAAAGGCTATAAAACTTGGCACAATAATAAAATTACTATTGAACGAAATATTCAATTTCTCAAAGGTAAACCTCCTCAAATTGAAGGGGAGAAAATAGACAACACAAACAACAATACAAACAAGTGTTTAATAATTAAAAATAATGAAACAGACAATAGAATAATGAGAACGGATGATAATGATACAAACAACACTGATCCTAACAAAAAGGGAAAAGTGGCAGAACCAACAGACTTAACAGACAACAAAGTTAAATTAACTGAAAAAGAAGTAGAACCTAAATTACATTGATTAGAACAGAAACAGAAACTAACAGAATGTGCTATCAAGCTTGAACAACGTATGGAGAATAAACATGTAACAAAACACATGTATGCACTTAGCAAAAAGGATGAAGATAATATTGCTATTCATTTAACAGAATTTAATGCTAAAATAAGTGAAATACAATTGGATCTGACTTCATTTTATAAAGCAATCCAATGTCTAGATTGTGATTCATAGATTACAGCTATGAAAGACAAAATAAAACAATTAGAAAATCATAATACATGGGAAATCACAAATCCACACAATAATATTAACATTATCAGAACACAATTTGTCTATAAAATAAAGCAATATACTGATAATAGTATAGAAAAATATAAAACACAATTAGTAGTTCAAGGAAACTATCAGATTAACAGTCTTGACTATCATACAGACAATTTATTTGCTCCTACTGCTAGACTATCTATAGTACAATTAATATTAGCATGGGCAGTATCTAATAATTATGAAATACATCAGATAGATATAAAATCAGCATATCTGTATGGACAATTGACAGAAGACAAAGAAATATATGTTAAACCTCCTCCAGGTAACTTAATAGACAGATTACAGAATGGACAAATATTACAATTACAAAAAGTGCTATACAGATTAAAACAAGCTGGTAGAAGATGGTATAAAACACTATCTAATATACTACTTAAATGCAGATTAATGAAATCCAAACATAATAACACTGTATTCTTTGTAAAGAAGAAAGAAATAACTGTAGTCATATTATTTGTACATGTCAACAATATTACTATTGCAGCAATGAATAATAATACTATTACAATAATAAAACAATCTATTGTATGTCATTTACAATATACAGACAGTAGCGAATTACACTAGCTACTTGGTATAGAGATTCAACACAACAGAGAGCATAGATTCATCAGGATGTGTCAGACACATTATATTAATAGTATAATAGAACGTTACAAACTTACAAACGAATAAAGTGTACAAACACTCATACAGCCTGGTACACAATTAAAAACAGTATTGCAAACCAATAACAATAGAAAACAAATGTCTGATATACTATACATAAACATGGTTGGTGCACTTAGATACATTACAGA